AACTTGGTTTTGGCTAGAGAAAGGCCTAATTTGTATTGCAGCGGCCTAGCGGAAATAGAGTGGGCCCACAATGGCTAACGGGCTGGCTTGCAGAAAAACGCAAGCCCGGGCTAGATCAGGGTTTTTATTGTTTTGTCTTTTCCTTTGCCAAAACACCATCGTTTTTTTTTTTTTTTTTAATCGAACAAACCACCCAATACCACCATTGCACGTGTACATATTTATATTCATTTGTACATTTACGTGATATTACCCAATATAACAAAAACAACATTGTTAACCTAATTTTAGGTAGTTCACAAACACGTTCCATAAAATACACAAAAAGGACTTAGTAAAATTAAATTTAATTACATCCCTAAATACGTCAAAATATATATCCAAAATAATAGTCACTCTACTATGGTGACAATTTCAAAATAATACAAGTTTGTTCTAGTTATTACAAAAACAATTCATTCATTAACACCGACTACACATTTGAAGGAACATCATCGAGAACTTCCTTAGCGTGACTTCAAAAAAATAATAAAGGGAGGGGTGAGTATAAAGCTAAGTAGAAGTCGCCTAAGGCGTCAGTTTTGGACTATCTTGAGCCACGGAACACATAAGTAAATGAAAACGGAACCGGGATCATGCAATGGGAGTCCGTATAACACTTACAACATAACAAGAAATTTCTTCAGTTACATGACACAATTCTACAAAATAATGTGCATGATATGAATGTGATGCACCCTACCCCTAAGTTGGTCCATACCGACCTAACTCACACTTTCAAAACCAGCTAACTGATTTTGCCGAGACGAGATTGATAGCTATCCCCTGTTCCAAATTCGGCAACCGTTATAAGGCCTAGTATCAACTTTTTCACGCCCTACACCGGGCCGCGCTCCCTCAAGGTCAAGTTAGCCCCAGACTCGCGAAATCCGATTCATTTAAAAAAATAATAATAATAACTTCCCATTCCAAATAAAAGCTTTTCTTCTTTTAAAAAAAAAAAACTTTCATTTACAACCCTTTTGAAAATTTCTTCCCTTACCATGTTATGCAATGTATTATGTTACATCCTCCTAGCATCAAACTCATCACAACAATAATAATAGAAACATGGCAAGGATAATTCAATGGATATATATAAACAACACATTCTATAACAATATTCAATTAAATCATGGCATGCTCATCTTAAAAATCATATGCACTATATCATGCTTTAACACTTAAACACATTTATCAAGCGACAACTTTCATTTTAAAAATAAAACAATAAATTTTCATTTCAAGGTTTTCAATTTTAAAAGTATAAGGTAAAGAATTAAAATGCTCAACTAAAAGACAAAACTTAAGGCATTAGGAAAACCCCTACCTCAATTAAAGAGAAAACACACAAGAAGCCCCAATTTCAATCTAAGAACCCCAAATTTTGAAATACCCAAGGTGGTCCAAACGACACTTTGCTTCGATTAAAACGAAGGTCTCGATGCGTTCGTCAACTTTGCCTTAAGTGGCAAAATCAAATTCCAAATATGAAGAGAGAGATCTTGCCTTGAGATGTAGAGAAAGAAAAAGAAAAAGGAAGCTATGCTGATGGAAAGAGAGACTGATGAAGTGAGAGTGAGAAATGAGGTTCAGTAATGATCCTATGGTCATTGATAATAGTTATATCACATGTGGGTCCCACTAGTTTAATAAAAATCTCACATTCCATTATATAATATATATATACAAATCAAATTACAACCACACAATCTAACATACAACCATGTAACTATGCATAAAATAATGATGCATGAAATACCATAAACCCGAAACACTGTCCCCTTGCTTAACGACTCCAATTACGGTTCCCACTTAGGAACTCCCGATCCAAAAAAGGAAAAATGCCGAAATGACAATCAATACATTTCTAAGAGTCCTGAACTCAAGGGAATGCCCCAACCAACTCTCAAACACACCCGACACATCTCACGATGTCTAACACGCAAAACGAAACAAGACGAAAATGACCTCGAGAAATCAGAAAATCCCAGAAAATTGAAAAATGGTAAAAATTAGAAACATTACATACATGATTCCCAATATTGCTTGGTACAAGCTGTGCACCCATAAAGTTGATACACCTATCAATAGGCAGTGTTTCATCTTCTAAATTCCTAGCAATTTGGCCTCTCAAAGATGATATGGTTCTAATAGCCAGTTCTCTTTTCATATGGTTCCAATTACATCCTCTTTGAACTTCATTGTGCTCAGGATCTACCCATCTAAGGAACCCACAAGACATCATCGGATACCTTCCACATCCATAGAACCTCCTACCTAGATTATTTTGTGTCATGGCTCTTCTCAAAGGAGATTTTACTCCACAATAACAATACAATCATTCATACATTGTATGTTGATTTGATGAATTGCTTGATGGCTCCATATCACTATTACAATAGATATTGCAAGCACGTAAATAAAATAAAATAAAAAAATAGTCCTAAGTACTAAATACTACTATGCATATGAAGGAAAAAAACTAACACAAAAAAAGTATATATATATATATATATTAGTTTTTAGCTTGATATTTTTTTAATATATATATATTCAAATCTAATATATATGTATTATAAATAAATTTAATTGGACATGAAAACTCACCTTTGTCTAAAGCCCCTTCCAGTTGTAGAGAGAGAATGAGTACAGAATTTGGTTGTAGACATACAAATGGGTTATATAGGCCACAAGGCTATAACAGTCACAAAAAAAGGGCTATTTCAGCATTCTCATAGTTTCAACAGGCACATGACTCTACACACGCGGGAATAGTTGATCCAGTGAATCTTAGGGGGGCATTTGCAACATTTTCTAGTTCAGGGGGGTATTTGCAACAAAGTGAATAGTTCAGGATGTTTTTTGCACTTTTGCCTTGATAGCATAATGGTTCAATTGCTAGATTGCCAAGTAGGAATAGATATGGACACTTGTTATTATAAGACATTGCAAAGAGATTACAAAGAGATGAGGTTTTTTTCTTTCCTGTAAAAAGAGATAAGGTTAGCATGTGGGCATATGATAAGATGACATGTTTCCTAAAAAATAAGGCTTACAAATTTGATTGTGATATATTATTTATTATTTATTTTATATAAGGTCGCGTGATGCTGATGTATTTTAGTGATATATATATTCATAGGAGCTTGCAGTTCACGAAAGTATAAGAACCTTATACTAGCTTATGTTAATGAGCCTAAACGAGCTCATGTTCATGAGCCTATACAAGTCGAGCCCAACACTGCTAGGGTTCGGCTCGACTCGTTTAGTAAACAAGCCTAGAAATTAAGCTTGATCTTGGATCATTCTCGTAAAGAAAAAGCTCGAGCCAAGCCCTTAGTGAGCCGAGCCCAAGATATTCATGAACATCTTGGTTTATTTGCAGCCCTACCTCTCTCTCTCACCGGTGATTTTAGTTCTTTTACAAAGAGTACAACCGAAGTGTTTTTTTATCATTGTAATCCTCATTGTTCTTTGCCTTCCGACTACATATTGTCAGTGAAACATGCCATGCGAAACATGCCATGCTGAGATTTGTTTTTAGCTTCTTGGAGTGGTTAGAGTGAGAAATTTGTTTGAACCCATTACCCATGTTTAATTTATGCAATAGAATATAATTTAATTGGATTATTATATCGGATATCCGATAAAGTGTGTATCAAATATGGATTCATTAAATGAAAATCTGTCGAATTAACGGATCGGATCAACTATCATGCTTATCGGATTCAGATTGAATTGACCGTGATCCGGTTCGTTGATAGGTCTAACTAGAGGTTTTTGGCAAGGGTAAGTTGCTCACTGACTTGCTCGCTTTGGTAGTTCAGCGGGCAATTTGCTACCTTGTGATAGTTCAGATTATTTATTTATTTTTATTATTTATTTATTTTTACCATATGTTTGCAATGTAAATATAAAATTATATTATACTTTTTTTTTTCTTTTCATAATTGTATATTATACTTATTAGCTAAAAGTAACAAATTTAATTATATATTATATTGTAATTGTCTTTATCATTATCATTGTCTTCGTTTAACTTTAATGAACAGATTAGTACTACATAAATATACCTCATATTATGTAATAAAATAAAAATATTATATATTATATATACTATGCACAAATATTATATTATTTCATATTAAATAGTCTATGCTATATATTTATTATATAATATATCATGAATATTCTTGTTAAATATATGAATACCTTGTAATATTTAATTAAAATCTGAAATATCATATTAGGTGTTTAACACAGGTATAATATTTTATAAAAAAATAATTTAATATAAAATTTATTTATAATATAATTACTAATTTATTATATAATGTAATGTATTTAGATAGTTTTAGGTATTTTCCAATTTGGTATAATAAATTATGTAATGTAATATTATATCTTATTTATGAATTTAACCATTTTATTATTAGTGTTAAAGAGTATTTTAGTTGTTTTTGGTAGCAAGGGTTGATGTTATTAAAATTATTACAAACATTTACTGCTAATTTTATCTGAAAATGAAAAGTGGTTGTGTGATGATTTTAATAATATAAACTATAAAGAGTAAAATTTCAGAACAAAAAAATAATATTAAATAAATAAAATACATGAAAATTTTATAAATTTAATTAAAAAACAATTACTATGTTTAAGTGTCAAATACTAAGACGACAACCATCAAAAAAACAAGCGTGGTGATTGCGATTGGCAACGGGGGAGTCTGGGAATTTATTATACAGGTAAAGGCCACGTGGAATCGAACGTTTCTAACCGGATTTTCTTTCTTTTTTTCTCTAAGAGGCAGATGACATTAGGGATGACGTCAGTAGTTTTGTAATCTACTTCTTCCCATTCCAACCAAAACACTCCCTCCATCACTCTCTCCATATATATATATATATATATATATATAGTACATGTAGTATAGTTATGTCCATCTGTAAATTAGCTTTGATCAATTCTTGTGTCGACCGTCACTACCCCAACAGAAAATTTGCTATTCTTCTCCCAGATTTATGGGATGTCAGGCCCCCAGTGCTGCGAAAACTTACTTATTTAAATTTTTTAATTAACGTGGTTAATACTCCTTCACTTATTTCAAAATGGTAGAAATGGCTGCTATTGATTTTCACCGGGAGTTTGGGAATTTATTATACAGATAAAGGCTACGTGGAATCGAACGTTTCTAACCGGATCTTCTTTCTTTTTTTCTCTCAGGCAGATGACGTTAGGGATGACGTCAGTAGTTTTGTGATCTACTTCTTCCCATTCCAAGTTTCCAACCAAGGCACTCTCTCTCTCTCTCTCTCTATATAATGCATGTAGTATAGCTATGTACATCTGTAAGTTTGATCAATTCTTGTGTCGACCGTCACTACCCCAACAGAAAATTTGCTATTCTTCTCCCAGATTTAAGGGATGTCAGGCCCCCAGTGCTGCGAAAACCCACCAACACTCGGCTCAAGCTGTGGAGTGGGGCATGTGGAAGAAATTGGAGGCCTAAAGTCCTACGTTTCTGGATCCTCTGATTCCAAGCTTGCAGTTGTTCTCATCTCAGACGCTTTTGGTACTTGATTCACTACTTATTTTGAGCTTTCTCTTCCAACTATGATTTGGGTATTTGAGTATTTTTCTTAATCTGGTGTGAAACTCGTCTTCTTGATCTATTTCATAGATATTAGATCTTGGGCTATGAATATGTGTTTGTGGGTTCTTAATTGAATAACATTATGGTAACTTAAGCATGTTTGTCTATACCAACGAAAAGTGCTATTCTTTGTATGGTAATTTAAGAAGTTTTTTTTTTCTTGGCCGAATAATAATTAAGATTTTTGCTATTTTACAAAGTGGGTATTGTTATTTTTATTTATTCTTTTTAATTTTTGGGTAAGTCAGTGAGTATTGTTTGTTTCATTGGCAACTTATTAACTTCTTTATACACATCCACGTGTGTGCAAGTCAATGTGTTTATTGTGGTTATAAATCATGTCCACTTTTTATCAAGTCTCAACCTGTCTGTCATCAAAATCATCATCATGGCTGTTGTACTTGTGATATGGGTGTGTATTATTATCAATAAAATTTATAATTAATGAAAAAAGGGAAAAAATAATCATCACTGTCATATCTAATGCACATGTATGAATTGATCTTGCAGGATTTGAAGCTCCAAAGCTGAGGTATTGTCAATTTTCAACTCTGCTTTTGCAACAATTCAGTGCATGTTTTGCTACTACTATTGTTTTTATACAATTTTTTACTTCATAAGTTTGTCAATTGTTTTTGTTTTTTGATGGTCTAGTCCTTGTCCTCCTAAACATAGCAGATTGAAAAATAATAATAATAATAATAATAATAGAATATATGGTTTGATGATTTAATAGAATCCTAACAATTCTACTGATATATAGTGGATATAGGAGAGAGAAATAACTGCCATGTATAAGGGAAAATGACCATTTAGCTGGTTCTTGCTTCTTAGATATTTTAGTACTTCTATAATTATTCAATTATGTTTTCATGAATTTCTATACTTGACGCAATTATCATCTAAAAATGCGTAAGTATTTTACCAATTATATCTAAAAGGTGCATAAATGTTTTTTTCTTTCTAGAATGACTTTAAGAAATACAAAAACTACCTTTTCTTTTAATTTTTAATTTTTTGATAACCAGAGGCATTGCTATTTCTTGAAAACACACAAAAAATGTGAATTACTTGGAGCAAACTGCATCCAAGATGCTCATTCTTTATTATCACCAAGTTTCAAGTTCTCATCTGGATTAGCATAATTTTTTTAAAATGCCTCATATGAGTGTTGACCGTTAGCCAACAGCTTTAAAAGATGACGTCAGCCAAAAAAAAAAAAAAAAACCAATTGTAATCCCATTTCTAACTTTCAAAACTTTTAACAGGAAATGACATATTTGACCATATTTGAATATAATATAAAGGTAAAATTGTCCTTTGTACATACCAAGGCCTCTTTTCTCTCTTAGATAGTAGTAGTTGTTGGATTTTGTGGCTCGACTTCGGTATGTATGCAGTGTTCTGGAGAAGATGGATTAGTCTAAGTTATTTGGCCCAGTCCAATTGAGGTGAAAATTGAAGATGGACTCGTCCAAGTTATTTGGACCGGTCCAATTGGAGTAATTTTTTTTACTTGGGTTAATTGGTTGGGTTTTAACATATGGTTTTATATTCCCTTCTTTGATATATAATAGTGAAATCTCTCTCTCCATGAACGTAGCCTCAAAGTTGGGTGAACCATATAAAATATTGTGTTATGCGTGAATGTGTATGATTGTTATCTCCATATATGCTTGTATGATGAAGTGATGATGATGCTTCCGTTGTATGTAATTAAGGAGGGATTTAACTCTCAACAGCAGCCGACCGTTGAGGGGTTGGAGGGAGTTAATATCCTTAACAACTAGTATCAGACTAGATGGTGGGTTAGAGCCCGTGGTTGGTCTTGAAGATTAGAGCAAAAGGTTGGTGTGAATTTTGTTAGAGTAGGAAGTTGATTGTATGGAGAATGACACCAAGGTATCATGATGGTGTGAAGCCAATGAGGAATAAATTTTGGGGACAAGCCAAAGAGTGGGTGTTAGTTCTCAAGATGGGGCCAAGGTGATACTATGAAGAAGAGGTTTGTTGCTTTGAGCTAAAAAAACAATTGATGAGGATGAGTTGATAGATTGGTGGGTTGCTATGTGTGACCAAATTGAACACCAATGGTGAGGTTCTTAATGGAAAAGGAAGGATGAAGGAAAGAAAGGAGTTTTTTTTTTTTTTTTTTTTTTTTTTTTGAGGTGGAGAGATCTTCAGTCAAGGTGGAGCTATGGAGGAGTGCGTGACGATGAATTTTGAGCCAAGGTGGAAATTGTTGAGTTTTGTGGTTCGAATTCGGTGTGTATGCATTGTTTCGGAGAAGATGGACCAATCCAAATTATTTGGACTACTCTAATTGTAATTGATATGGTAACTTTTTGTAGGCAAGTTAGAGAATTCTTATCCTAACAATGAATAAGTTTGAAGACTATAAATAAAGATGGTGTGAGAGATTAAGGTAGAGAGAGGGAAATGATGTAAGGTGTATGCATTGTTCCGGAGAAGATGGACCAATCCAAGTTATTTGGACTACTCTAATTGTAATTGATATGGTAACTTTTTGTAGGCAAGTTAGAGAATTCTTATCCTAACAATGAATGAGTTTGAAGACTATAAATAAAGATGGTGTGAGAGATTAAGGTAGAGAGAGGGAAATGATGTAAGGTGTTTAAAGGTGAGTATTATGAGGAAAAGGGAGAGTATATATAATTCTCGAGTGTAAAGATGTAACTTCAAGAGCGTGATGAGTGAGGGTGAGTGGGGTTTTGACATCTGATTTTATATTCTCTTCCTTGTTACATAATAGTGAAATCTCTCTCTCCATGGACATACCCCTAGAGTTGGGTGAATCATGTAAAATATTGTGTTATGTGTGGATGTGTATGGTTGTTATCTCCATATATGCTTGTGTAATGATGATGCTTTCGCTGTATGTGATGAAGGAGGGATTTAACTCTGAACAACACCACCACCCATAAGCAAAAGAGCCGATTAAGGAGGGATTTACCCGTTGAGTGGGTTGGAGGGAGTTAATATCCCTAATAATTGGTGTCAGAGCCGATGGTGGTTCAAAGCCTACGGTTGGTCCCGAAGATTAGAGCAGAAGGTTGGTGTGAATTTTGTGAGGTTGATCATGAGGTGCTGTGGAGATTCAATTAGAGTTGATAATGACACGAAGGTATGATGATGGTGTAAATCCCATTAGGAACAAATTTTGGGGACAAGCCAAAGAGTGTGTGCTAATTCTCAAGATGGGGCGAATGTGATGGTATGAAGAAGAGAGGTTTGTTGCTTTGAGCCAAAAAAACAATTGATGAGGATGAGTTGATAGATTGGTGGGTTGCCATGCGTGGGCAATTGAACACCAATGGTGAGGTTGTTGATGGAAAAGGAAGGAAGAAGGAAAGAGAGAATAGTTTTTTGTTTGAGGGTGGAGGGATCTTCAGTTGAGGTGGAGCTATGGAGGAGCGCATGAAGACAAATTTTGAGCAAAGGTGGAAATTGTTAGGTTTTGTGGCTCGAATTCGGTGTGTATGCAGTGTTCTAGAGAAGATGGACCAGTCCAATTGGGGTGAAAATTAGTTAAGGAATTTGTAATTAATATGGTAACTCCTTGTAAGCAACTTGGGGAATTCTTGTCCAACAAGGAATGGGGTTGAAGACTATAAATAAAGACGGTGTGAGAGATTAAGGTAGAGAGAGGGGAGAGATATAAGGGGTATAAGGGTAAGTATTGTGAAGAGAGGGGAGAGTATATGTAATTTCTTAGTGTAAAGATATAGCCTCAAGAGTGTGATTAGTGAGAGTGAGTGGGGTTTTGACATTTGGATTTATGTTCTCTTCTTTGATACATAATAATGAAATTTCTCTCTCCATGAACGTAGCTCTAGAGTTGGGTGAACCATGTAAAATATTGTGTTATGCGTGGATGTGTATGATTGTTATCTCCATATATGCTTGTGTGATAATGTAATGATGATGTTTTCGTCGTGTGTGATGAAAGAATGATTTAACTCTCAACAACAGCCCGACCTTGAGTGGGTTGGAGGAATTAATATCCCTAACAGTAGTAATAGGAAACAAACATCTTATATATATATATATATATATATATAGGGTTAAATACACTAACCTCCCCTGAGGTTTGGTCTAATTACAGTCAGATGAAACTTGTCAAAAATCTTGCACCGTGTTCCGAGAGGTTTAGTCAGAAATCTTGCATTATCTGACCAAAATGCCCGCTGACTCAGCTGAAAAGACGTTATTAACCTTAAGATAGACATTAAATTACAATAAAAATATCTTCTTTTATGGAAAAAAAACCCTTCTTCACCTACCCACCCATCTTCGCCGCCGCCCCTTTCTTTATCCCTTCCATGGCTAACCATTGTCTCAGTCCACACGCCACCACCCCTTCTCTCTCCAAATTTATAAACTAGTAAACAATATATATATATATATATATATATATATATATATATTTTGTAGAAAATCTTTACAATATATTTTGTGTATAAACTAAGTAATTATTGGGAGGAACCCATCACCTCCCATGAGCAAAAGAGCCATTTACAATATATATATATATATATATATATATATATATATATATATATATATATTACATATATTACAAAGGAATTGATGGGAATGAACCCAGCAACCATAAAGCAACAGGAGAATTTGTAACTTTATTCTTCATTTCTCTCTCTCTCTCTCGCTCTCTCTCTTTATATATATATATATAACCCATTTGCAACTTGCTCTTAATTCTCAGCAACCATTTGCAATTTTGTTCTTTATTTCTCTATACACACACACACACGTCCATTGGAGCTTAAGATTGATCCATTGGGAATAAATTGATGGCCATTGAAGAGTGATAAAAATTGAAGAGAGAAAGATTCAATAGATGTGCCGAGGGTGTTGCAACAATCATAGTAGAGAGAGAAATTGTAGAGAGAGATTAGAAGAAATTGAGCTTAGAGAATAAATTCAGTACAGAGGGTGTTGCAACAATCACACTTGCTTATATTTTTGTGTGCTTTTTTGTGGATGGCAACTGTGCAAAGAGTGTTACATTGTAGATAATAAAGGCGTTCATTCATTTCTGGAGGGATAAACTTTGATGTTGAAGCTGAGGATGGAAGAAATAGAGGAAACAAACTCTTCTCTGCAGAATAATCAACAGAAAATGAGACATTCAGGTGGTAATGGGGGTAGATTTGGAAGCCGTGGTCGTAATGGTGAAGACCGTGGACGGCGAGGAGGTTTCAATGGGCGAGGAGGTGGTTCTTTTTGGGGTTTTTACTCAAGCTATGGTGGTCGTGGTGGAGCTGACAGTAATTTTGATGGTTATGGCGGACAAGGTGGCCACGGAAGATGGGGTTTGGGATTGGACTTGGCAGGGAGAGGAGAGAGAACAAAGAGGGAATAAGATCTTTAGGCAAATATGTCATTTTATTTAATGAATTTTTTAAATCATTTTATTATTAAAATAATCGGGGTACAAAAGTAATTTTATCTGAATTTTTAACTTTTGTAAGATCCAGGGAGGTCATTGCAAGATTTCTGACAAGTTCCGAGCGTAATTAGATCAAACCTTAGTGGAGGTCAGTGTATTTAACCCTAAATATTATCTCTCCAAATTTGTTGTGTGGTGATATTGTGCTAATTGGAAAAAGCAATCTGAATTTCTTCCACTTTAATCTTCATGGTTTACTTTTGAATTATTATTATTTTTCCCCAACCCCACACCGACGCGGGCAACATAGTTATGTGCCTCGGGTTCCGTAATTATCTCTGTAACATAGTGTAATTGTTTGAGGGTTCATTCTTTGCCCTGCCTTCAGCGACCCGGACATTATTGATCAAACATGTACTTCGGGGTTTCAATTGCATATATAGAGAGATATATCACCGATTTGATGAAACCCGTGTGGAAGAGAAACACAAAATGCCTCACTTCTCAGTGTATATATGCATTTATGTACATATACGTGTTCATCCGTTTTGGATTTAGAGAGAGAGAGACGAAGCCTTCAAAGTGACGAACGGATGAGGGATTGATAGTGGATGAGGAGAGAGAAATTGAAAAGTAGGTAGGTTTTGGGTTATGAATGTTTGGGTGCCTGTGTATATATGCGTATGTGTGTGTATTTGTGTTCAATCTGGTTTTGATTTGAGAGGGAGATGTTAGAGAAAGAGATGGTAGAAGAACTTTTTATATTTGAAAATGGATATTTTAGTCTTTTTAAATTTGATTAACTTTTCAGCTAAAATAATATTAAACAAACAAGAGCATAGTGGTAATTGCATTATTACTATTAACGGAGTCAGCCGACAAGCTCTGACAAGGGAGGTCGGAAGAATTTCTGAAAACTATATGGTACTGTGTGTAGGTTTAGCAATCTAGTGGGAAGTTCAGTGTAAATTATCCGATTTTCAAAATTGTTAAATTTGTGCCAATGTGCAATTTGTGGCCTTGTGCTGGTGTTTGTGTACCCTTTGGGTGTCACGGTTTAATGAGTGATATCTCCATCTCCTTCTTGTGAATTTGGGAACTGAGCTTGTCAAACTTCTTAAATAGCCAAGTAATTATTGTTTGGCCGTGTGTCAACTGATTTTCACAACATTGTCATATAGTTTGACGATAAAGTGTCATTTGTCAACTTATTTTACTTATGCCTTTGTTTTTCAACTGTGAAGGAAGCTTGCTGACAAAGTTGCAGCTGCTGGATTCTATGTGGTTGTTCCTGATTTCTTATATGGAGACCCCTACGTACCTGAAAATGCTGAAAAGCCAGTATCAGTATGGTTAAAAGAGCATGGAACGGTTAGTTATCTTCATTATGCTACATTCCTGGAAACTGCTACTTATTTATATTGTGAAAGTAGTTTCCTTTGAACATATTTTTCTTTAGGGTTTGCTGGAAATTTAACATTTAGAGAAATCCAAAATGTGGGTTGACTCAGCAGACCCATTCATTTTGGGTCTCCTTGAAGAAATGAAGTTTCTGTTTTTCAAATAATACTGAATGGTGTTTCTTCCTTTTTGGCGAATAAAATCAGTGTTTTCGATTGTTTAGTTTTCAAACTCAAATAAAGTTTTGATTAATAGTAGCTAAAACATTAGTGTCTAAAATATTTTCTTACCTTCTAGGATAAATCATTTCAAGATGCAAAACCGGTAATTGAAGCTCTAAAACGTAAAGGTGTATCCAGTATTGGAGCTGCAGGCTTTTGTTGGGGTGGTAAGATTTTTCCTGAACAGCCTTCACGAATTTAGACAATATCATATTGCAATTAATTTCTGCAACTAGACAGGGCTTAAAATTCAACAACTTGACTAAAATTGAACTTTTTTAATTCTCTCATCAGCTAAGGTCGTTGTGGAATTAGCAAAGCATGCTTATATCCAAGCTGGAGTGATACTACATCCGTCATTTGTCACTTTGGATGATATCCAGGGTATGAATTCTGTTACTAAACTTTTCTGAAATTACTTTTTGATTTATTTTGTCGGACCCAGAATTTTAAAGTAGACCTCTGGAATTATTCATCGAAGCAATTGTGTTGGTCCTTCGTGAATTTTATTTGAGCGAGTGTATCATGAGGGTGCATGCTCTTACCGTGAGCTAGCTTGTGCCATTGACAGTATCTTGATGGTTGATAGCACGGTCATGATAGCTTTTTCATTTATATGAAACACATATAACCTTCTAGGTATTTATATATTGTTTTCCTTCTTAATGGTGGTGAGCATGACGTGTATTTATTATTTTTTTTGTGAGTTGGAGGAAACAAGAAATTTGTTTATTTACAATTGCCACAAATTTCAGGGGTTAAGGTTCCAATTTCAGTACTTGGAGCTGAGATTGACCAAACTTCTCCACCAGAACTTGTGAAACAGTTTGAGGGGATCTTAAATGCTAAGCCTGAGGTATGAAACTCCAAAACTTTCCATGTAACACTTAATAAAAATATTTCATATTGCCTATCCTCAAATTATTGTTTATATACCTTTACAACTTCAATGATCTTTTCCTTTCTTTATTGGCAATAGAATATTCAAATAAGCCAAGAACCCTGGACTTTCCTATTCTCCTTAATGTATCCGCGTCGACACAACGTGATACGGGTATGGGTATGACATGTGTCTGACACACGACCCAAATCGGACACCTGGATCTTCCGATCTTCTTAAAGGAAAAGAAAAGCCCAATGTGATAGCAAAGAAGGATCACCTAATTCTGACATAGATGGAATTTATCTTCTTTTTTAATCATATTCCATTTAATTTTGTTATTACTAAGTACATTTTTTAAGAATGCAAGACGTCTCTACATACCCTTATTCAGGTTCCGAACGCATTTTGAACCTACTTCACGTATCTTAAAATTTGGGATCTAGGGCGGTCTGACATTTGGACACGTACTTATACCTCATACATATACCCAAGTCCATGTAACATAAGCCAAAAACAATCGAATTTATGTTTTATCTTCTGTAAGTGTTGTTTTAGATACATTTCTACTCACATACTTCCTGAGGTAGAAGTGACTATGAAAGCTAGAAAATGTGTTTACTTTTCACTTGAAATCCGCGAATCTTTCACATTAATTTTGTACAATTATTCACTTCATGATTGTTTTTAATTTGTAGTTTCTTTTTTTTCTTTTTATTATTTTTTATTAGTTAAAGATGCCTTTATTTTGGTGCACATGATTATCTTGTTCAAAAAAGAAAAAAATAAAATAAATAAATTTACGGTGGGAAGCTTTTCAAAATTGACCATCACTGTCAACTTCAATTTATGGTAACTTTATCGACAACCAGATTGTGGTATGTTCTTTTTTGCTACACACTAAAGTGACAATCAACTCCGTTTTTTTTTTTTTTTTATCCACAATTATGGTCTGGATCTTAAATATTGCATGGATGTATGTGTGTGACTCTATGCCGCCTGAGACTTTTCATTTTCTTAATTTTTTTTAGTTTATATATATATATATAGAGAGAGAGAGAGATAAAATACTCTGTAGAGTGTTGACAAATATCCAATAAACCTTTCGTTGGGTTGGGGGCTCCCCCCATCCTTTTTTTTTTCTTTTTCGGTGAAATCCAATAGAAGGGCTAGGGGGTGAAGAAGGGGATACCTAACTGTCATTCGTTAGAGGGACTGAAAGATGCTTTGGATTAGTCGTTACGGTCAGATTTATGGATTTGGTGATAGCCCATCTCCGACCAAGAGATCCTGCCCAATCAGCATCTGTATATCCTTCCATTAAAGGGTTCTTCAAACTGGAATGGAGAACCCATAAGTACCTTTGTCGATGTTTCTAAGTTTGCATTACCCTTGAATAGAACATTACTAAAACATATATAGGAAAACCAAAAAAGAAAGAGATTGGAATATATGTATTAGGTTCAGATATTACTTAAGGGTCATTGTTTTGTGCAACAGTAAAAATATGCCCAGATTGTGTAGTCCGAGAGGTAGGTTTGGGTATAAAAGAATGCACATTTTTTCAAAATACCCAATGTTATTTGTGTATCTAGTCCATCCCGCCCATCATCCTCGTTGGTGAAACGGGTAGGTCGGGTACGCTAGGTAATCTGTTTGTTTTTTTTTTTTTGGTAAAACATCTCTTGCTTGAAGGTAGTTATTGCAAATCATATTCTCAGATATGGTTGGCATTTGTGTTTCAGTCAAGAAATTAATGACGTCAATTAACAAAAAAAATAGAAAGAAATCACCGATGTGTTATTGCTTCCAGGTTGATGGCTTTGTAAAGATATTCCAGGGGGTTGCTCACGGTTGGGCCGTGAGGTACGAGGATGAAGATGAAGAGGCTCTGAAGCATGCAGAAGAAGCCCACCAGGATATGTTGGATTGGTTTGGTAAGTATCTTAAGTAAGACAATTTGATGTGTTATACCACGTCTCATGCCATTGTAAGAGATGGTTCGAAGTTGGAGCCACTGAGACTTTGCTGTGTGTTGGCTTGAATACGAAAGTTTTTCTGAATACTAGAATCATTTGAGACTATTATATGCAACAATTACACTATTGTCTGTAACAATTTAATGTGTAATACCACGTTTTATGTCATTGTAAGAGACACGGATGAACGAATAATCCTTAAGAACTGCAATTATTGAGATGGTTGGTAGTTGGAGGCTTGGAGCCACTGGGTTTTTTTTGTTTGACTTGAATATGAATAGTCCTTAAGAGCTTCATTTTTGAATTGCTTGTATGATTTTATTTTAACATACTTTGATATGATTTTTCCTATGGAGAATCATTTTAATATGAACAACGCTATTTTATTCGTCTAAGATTTTTTGGACTGAAAATGTGTGAATTTTATAAGAGAGCAAATAATAACTGTCTTGAGGTGTGCATGTGACGACGATCTTACTTTTCAATAAATTAAATGATTATTTAAAAGTATGTGGATTTGCTGAAATTTAGGTATTAAAAAATATGTTTTCACTCGAAATAGCATAACATTTTAGAAGATGGAGCATGAAAAAGGTATAGCCAATTTACATTTACAATTAGCAAAACTCTGTTCTTGAGATGTTCACTTAAAAAAAAAAAAAGAATAAAAAAATCAGCAAATGGCAAAATAGTTATCTCATTAAAAAGTATTGTATTGTATTGATATGTATGAGATATCTATACAACAGGGGTTTATATAAGAGGGGTTATATGTGATGAACAATTAACCCTATATGTATATGGTAACTAAATATATGATAATCCTATACAAGGTTAGAATCCTAGGTAATCTTAAAGCAACTGTTGTGTATATATTTTTGTGTAAGTCTAATGTGTCAGAGTAGATTTATACAAAAAATTTGTACTACCTATTTTTAGCTTCAACGATTATTTATACCTTTTGTGTAAAAAAATAATCCCCTACTAATAACCAACCACGTGTCATACTCAAGGCCCTACATAACTTTTACAAACTTACTTGATTCATTTACTTTTTTACGATTAAACCTCACGTCCCAATCCTCCCTCAATTAGGAAAAAACTAATAATTTCCTCCTATATTTCACTTTCTACAGAAACCAAAAATATGCAAAAACAATTGCGATTGAATTGACTAATTACCTGTGGACACTAAAATTTTAGTGGGCTTTAGTTTTGACAAATGGATCCATAAAATATGGGCTTAATGTTTAATTATGTTATTTAATTGGCCCAAGTTTGGTCCAATTAAATTATTCAATTAGCCCAGCCCAGATAATTAAATAAAAAAAGATAATTATTCCTAATAAAATATATTTGAAATAATTATATTTAAGGATAATTATCATAATATAACCGGCCCGGCCTAGTTATGATTTTATCCTTATCAGGAGATGACACGTATCATCATCCTATTAACCCAAGAAGCCTATAAATAGAGGCCTGAAGGAAGAAGGAAAGGGGTACACAAATTCAGAGTCCAGAAATCCAGAGACTCAGAAATCCAGAAGTCTAGAAATTCAGAATTCAGAAATCCAGAATTTCAGAGAGAACTCTCATCCCCAACATCCAAACCCAAAAAACGGAGAACATCAAGCACATCAAATCATGTCGCTCTTCATCAAATTCCACGGTGATCAACAATAAGCACAGCCAAAGACGTGCCGTTCTTCAACCAAATTTCACGGTGATTTAAGATCAAGCTCGTGCAGCCCTTGGATCCCACCAACCAATCAGGAGATCGAATCAGAGGACCGTACTCTATTCTTTTTGTAAAGAATATTTCAAAGGAATGTACCTCATCTATCTAAATTAATAAAATATTACATTATTTGCTCCATATTTTGTTTCTATTGCAAACTTACAAAATTTGTGTATACAAATTTGTGGCACGCCTTGTGGGACCTTCTTTGCCTCTCATCTCTTTCTCCTACCGTCAACTTTCTTCTCTATCAGATTCTATGGCTCCCTCTAACACTCAGGCAGACAAGAAAGCCCAAAAGAACATCGCTACTGTAAAGGTCGACTCCAAAGCCACCATGAAAAGTGGCACGAAGGCCAAACTTAGTGATGGAAGTACCTTGGCGGGCCCTGTGACATGTAGCAAGTCCCAGGTAATCGAGTCATTCAAACATCAACAAGACTTGGTGAAAACCAATCCTGCAAAGCCGGCGAACATGAAAACTCAACATGTCAAGAAACCTGACGTTGTTCCAGAGGAGATTCTATCACCAGATTTACCTCACTCCGTCTATGATGCTCACTCTAGTGTCAGTTCACCCTAGAGTCACCATGTGTGATACCCCCGGATTTCCGGATGCGGGTTGGCCAGGCCCACGCCCGACTACCCGAGGATATCAAACAAATTCGCAATAAATGAACACAGAATACAATTAAGATAACACGAATAAATAAATTTTGCTGAAAAGAATCTAGAATGATAACCCAAAACTGAAAACCTCAGAATAAAATTTTATAAATAAAGTATTAATCTGATACATCTAACTTTTCCAATTCTAATACAACTCGGGAATCCATCTGGTGGACCCCTTGTAAAACCAACACTGAGAAACGAATCACCGAAAAGGAATCCAATGCTACACCATGCAGGAACCACCTATGTCGTCAGTAGAGTGAGTAGTTGTCTCTGCTCAGCACGAACAAGCTCTAAGACCTGGAACCTTCCATTACTTGAAAAATAATAGTGGGTCAGGCCTACGAACAAGTTCTATCCTAACTACAATCCAAACAGAGACCCGATACGCAGATACATCCTAGATGTCTCAACCATATCTATATAGTCCGTAATAGATAAATATATATCCACCCTACATGACTCTCACTAAACTATGTTGAGGGTCTCAACCTAAATAGAAGGCAACATGCAATATGCACCTGAGTGGGCATGACTACCTAAGCCTAACAGGGTATACCTCAACCAACATAGCTAGTTACGCATCCTACTACATATACGCACCCTAACCGTCGACTATAAGACTCAAGCTCAGATCGCGGTACCATAATAATATATATAAAATCCGTTCACATTCATCCATAAGAAATCCAGTAAGTCATTCGGTGTATTCAACCGCACCGACTCATATATATAAGGAGGATTTTATTTAACAACCCGTACCCTTATTCCAAAATAGGTAGGACTGAGTATTTTGAATCAGTCTGTCCCTAGTATGCCACCGTCCCATACTGGTGCATACAATCCACAAAATCCATATAATTGATTGAACATGTAAAACTGTTCACCAATTAAAATCCATAAGGTAGGAATTAGCGTTTTGAGCTAAACCATACCTAGTATGTCACCGTCCCATACCGGTGCATACAATCCTCCATATCCATATAAATTACAACATATACATAATAGTTTAACAATTTACAGTCCAAAACCATTCTAAATAATTGTAGAAGAGTATTTAGTATTTCAGTAATTTAAATCCAAAAGTTAAACCATATAGTTGCAGGAAACAATTAATAATTCAGCAACTACCATCCAGAGCATGCATAGATCAAATCTAATATATCAATGACTCTATCATGCATTTAAAATAAATTCTATAATCATATTATAGTCCAATAAATCGTTACATTAATTTAAGTAATTTAATTCCTTCAATCTGGTAAATGCGTACTAAGTTGTATACTTGTATTCTGTCTTATCTTTTAGCACAGAGCCATGCACTATGCCCAAGTCCAATTTATTAATTTAAAAGACTTCACTATGCTTTTAAACTAAATTTAGAACCATTATATAGCACACTAAATTTCCAAATTAAAACTATACAATAAAATTCCTTCCCGCCATTAACTGCACGCAAAGTTGTTAATTAGCGCACTGTTAATTCCATTCACTTAGAGGTCAACCTTACTCAATTTAAAGATTTAATAACACCCTAAACCAACCTTATAGTCCCTTTGTAAAACCCCAAAGTCAACAAAACAATTTCCATGCTCCAACAGTAACAATACAGATCGTAAAAATAAAATTCTGAAAACACTATTGAAAAGAGCCTTCTCCAAAAAACTGGAGAAGGCTCTAAACCACCTAAAGCCTTCTCTAAAAAACTAGAGAAGGCTCTAAATCACCTAGAGCAGGCTCCACATTTTAGAGCCTTCTTTTTCTCCCTTTGAGCCTTCTCATTTGCTTCCTATTCCACCTGCATAATTGCATCTCTTATGCACTGAAAGCTTATAACAATACCTAGATTGCATGTTAATCATCTTAGTCTACTTCCCACACAGTTCCAGACTCAAGAATCGTTCACACAGTGCACCCAAAAAAACCCACAATCGAACCAAACAACGCACAAAACTGCTTCTGTAAACAAATAGGATCACAGAGCCTTCTCCAAAATAGTGGAGAAGGCTCAATCTGCCTAGAGCCGGCTCTCCTATAAGGGGGAGCTGGCTCTCCTTGCCTAGAGCCGGCTCTCTCCCTTTTGAGAGCCTCGACTTTGTTCCCTCTTCGTTTCTGACCATCTGCCTCGTCTCCGGCCCTTTCCTACCCCTCTGTTCTTCCTTAAAACTTGTCCTCACTGTCTAATTTATATACAATGTTAATCCCCAGTCCTTAATTTACCACAGTACAAGTTAATATAGTGATATAAAACAACAACCAATTTAATACTTTGAAACAAACAACGAAGAACAAAGTTGCAAGAATTGTTTTCAGACAATATGCATATATACAGATGATCTAATTAACATATTCCAAGCATGTAAGATTCAATTAAAATTCAAATACAATCCTAGAGATCATCAAAGGATGCACAGAACACAGGCAAAGGGAGAGAGAAAGAATAGAACTTGCCTTTCGGTTTCGGTTTGAAACCTTTCAACAATGTCTTTTTTCTAGGTTTTCCGGCGACCTTAGTTGCCGTTGAATCTCCTCTACTGCTTTTGGTTTAACCCCACGAGCAACTCAGTCCTTTCTCCTTGGTCCAACCTTTAATCCATAACGGAAATCATAACGAAACTCTCTCTCTCTCTCTTCCTCACAATACCCTCTTTGTTTCTCTATGTCTCTATACGAAGAGGGTTTTAAAAAAACCCCTTGCAAAATTATCACAATATATTTATAGGCATATATAAAACCTACGTCTACTTATATTCAGAGATGGAATCCCAACTAAACCCTAGTCGGCCAATTTTGTTATACGATTTAAAACCCTAGAATTTATAATACACCTTACATGACGGTAATATTATAATTTAACTAATAATAATTTCTAATTATTAACCTAATCCACATATACATAT